CTACTGGTTTTTGCGCTGCTGGTGTTGCTACTGGTTTTGTGCAGTTACTGCTATATGTTAAACCTGCTTCTTTTAGAGTGTTGTAGTATGCTACTGGTTTTTCGTCTAATGAGTGAAGGGTATGTTGCTACTGGTTTTTGCGCTGCTGGTGTTGCTACTGGTTTTGTGCAGTTACTGTTGTATGTTAAACCTGCTGGAGTCTGCTGGTGCAACTGTTTCTTGTGCAGCTACTGGCTCCTTTAGTGTATGTTGTTAAACCTGATGAGTGGAGGGCCTTTGTATACTGTTGGTGGTGTATGCTCTATTTGTTTGTTGTTCTGTTTTATTTTGCTTTTCCTGCCTTTTTTGGTTCCTCTTATAGGATTGGTTTCTCACCAATCTTAGGGTTGATGCTCTTTGCTCTTCCCTCTTTGTTGATGTAAGTTTTCGCATGTACTGCTTTCTTCATTAATAAAGATTCATTTTTGTTGATCAAAAAAAAAAAGAAAAAAAAGAGTAATCCTTTCTTTGGGGTTCTCTAATCCCAACTTTTTGTTGAAAATGCATACACTGTAAACATGAGGTTTGTTTTTCAAATTTCATATAAGTTTTAGTTGAAATGCATCCATCATTGTCAACTTTGTTGTAATGACTAGGACTGGGGGTTTGTTTTACTTTATACATGGATGCAAATTGACATAAATAAGAAGGCATTGAGGGGCTTCAATGGTACAACCCAAAAGTCTTAATTCCTAGATTTATGTTTGCTGGCCTTCGCTGAGGCATTCTTAACTACACCATTTGCTTCAACTGAAAATTTTTGACCCGGAAAAAGTAAAGCAAAGAGAATACTGTTACAGTTACAAATTTTATTGTTTGTTTACTTTTCTCAGATGAATACTCAGATATTATTAGCAAGTGGATATCTTAGAGAATTCATATATGACCCCTTGTGATTCATTTTGTGTGGGGATTGGATTAGCCCTTGTCTTTGCATTGTGGCAGGGTTTAGATTTATTAACTTACCTTTGTATACCGAAAGATATTTTTAAGAATTTTGTGATTCGAGGAAGTGTGAGAATAGATTATAGTGGAAAAAGTATTTGATTTTGACAAAAAAAAATAGCTTATATTATCATTACGGAAGTAATCTAAAGTTTTCAGATCATTAGTTATTTTCAGAAAAATTTGTGAATCAATTCAAAAGGATTTATCTTACAAGCTTCGAAGAAGTTGAAAGTCCTTAGATGTTTTTTGTAATTATGGTAAGATTTGGCTGGTTTAACTAGTTTGATGAACTGTGGTTGGTGCTTGATGTATTTTTGGTAAGAACTTTAATATACACGTATTGTTGACAAGATGTTGCACCTACGGACATATTATGGCATGTGTGCTTCTAATACATCCCCTCATTCACAATGCTTTCAATTGTGACCTGAAAAACAAACGGAGCCTGTAGCACATTTTGAATCAGTTATGGCTATAGTGCTTAATGTACTTTGTCAAATTATAGGCAGTATTGGAGCAATTTCAAGGTCTAGGAGTACGAATTCAATTAGCTTGTAGTTTTCTATCATTTATAGGAGTGGTATTCAAGTGCATATTTGTTAAGTCATATTGGGCATTGCAGTGATTTTATATGATCTGAGGCAACTACGCTAAATTACATTGGGGGTTCAAAATCATTTTGTGAAACATAAAGGACACTTGTATATTTGTATATGTGCAAAATACTACCATGTTTTTCTTTTTTATTTGTTCTCTATTACGAACATCATGTCCGGTCCCGTGGCAGTGAGACACATTAAACTACCCACCAGCTGCTTGTAATACGTCTCATCAACTAAGTCTCCATTTCCGTGTTGCTTTATCATCAAGGATCACCTCAACTCTTTGAAGTTTTGAATTGTTATATGCATTTCTACTAAATTGGTTTATAAAATAAAATTATTTATATATGAGTTTCGATGTAATTGATAATATATTAATGTTTGCCTTGTTTATTTTCTTTGCAGATTGGTTTTGATGACGTTCGGAAGCATACTTGCAAATAAAGATCAACTGTTGAATTTTTTTTCCTAAACTGATGCTTAGTTGTAGTTGCAAATCAAGATTGAGTGTTGATTTTTTTTTGTGGACTCTACGTTAGTTCATTTTGGGATTTGCTTTGATGGTTTTTTTGTGATACTTAATGGGTTATTATTAAAGTTGTTTGATGGATATATTTTGATTTATAATATAAATTGTTTAGTGAATTTTTTTGTGGAGTGATGTATAATAGCTAGTGGATTTATTAGTACAATTAAAAGGCTATTGGGATATGAGCAGAGATATTTGTGAAATAATAATTTAAATTGAATATAAAATATGGAACAACTTTAGTGACGAATTTGTTTTGTCATTTGTACTTGTTATTATGACAAAGTGATTATTCGTCACTAATAAACTTTTTTTTGTGACAAAATTTACTACAGTTTATATATGAAAGTTTTTATTTATTTTGTTGTTTGGTGACTAAACATTTCGTCACGTATATATATTTGTGACGAAATATATTTCGTCACCCATGTGTGACTTTTGAAGACGAAAAATTTCGTCACCTTTACATCTTATTGTGACGAAATTATTTCCTCATCAATGATCAACATGCGTGACAAATTTATTCGTCAACTAAAGTTATAAACATGGTACTAAATAACTATTTGGTGACGAAAATGAGAAATTTTTGCTACAAAATGTTGTTTTATTGGTGACAAAAAATTTCGTCGCTGAAGTAATTTCATTGGTGACGAAATTATTTTTCGTCACGTTGGTTTTTAGTGACAAACATTCAATGACGAAACTGATGACAAAAATATTTCCTCACAAATATCTATAGTGACGAAATTAGCTCTTTGAAGACAAAAAAATTTCGTCATTCAAGACCCAACTTGTTGTAGTGTCAGAAAGCTATAAATAATGTATCAAAACCCAAATATATTGTAAGTTATTAATAGCCACAAGTTTTGTTTGGTATGATAAATATAAGTGCACTTATTTAGACAGTTACATTTATTTAAATCTCATTATCTCTCTATTTTTCTATACATTTTTTTATAAAAAATTTAAAAATATACTTATTTAAATCATTTGAAATAAATACTCCTATTTTATACCTAATTGTATGTGGGATGGAGTAGGGAGCATACAAAGACCCACACGAAATATACTACCAAATGTGAATCAAAATACACCAAACCCACCAAACATTAGACCCAAAAAAAATTCAAAGAATGAAAAGAGAGGAATATGGGGTTCAGGGTTGGGTAGAGAGAGAGAGAGAGAGAGAGAGAGAGAGAGAGAGAGAGTAAGAGAAACAATGGCAACCACTTCACCTCTCTCCAACACTTTCACACCCAACACTCTCATAATCATCCTCTCATCGTCGTCGTCGTCGTCGTCGTCGTCGTCGTCGTCGCTGGGAGTAGAGACCACCACGAACACCAACTGATGGGATCCGGATGCTGAGAAACCATCGCCAAGTGGGTTGGGCTCTGATGGAATGAAAGAGTATGGGACTGAAACAAAAACACAAAGAGTGAGACGTAGAGTGAAAGAGAGGGTACATTTGTACGAGAGATGAAGGGTTGTGGAGGGAAGAAGAGGGAGAGATGGAGAGAGAGAGATGAGAGAGTAATGGAATGATTAAAGAGGAGAGAAGTGGTGAGAGAAGAGAGGATAAATAGGTGGGAAACATATTTTGGGCCAAATAAAATAAATCTGACCATCAATTTTATAGATGAAATGATCTAAATCATTGATGATGCTATGTGGAACAAAAATATACATATTTTTAAAAATCGTTCTGTCATATTATATAGACTAGTGTATGCCCGTGCCTAAAGGCACGGTGTAAATAATATTGTGATTAAAATATAATTTTAATTTATATGTATCATGTTAAAATTTGTGGAGTCTAACATTTTTTTATTCTTCGTAAAGAATTTTTAACAATTTTACTTGTACGACACATTCTATAGAACTTAATTAAAATAACAACTCCCTCTAGCCTTAATGCAAATCAAAATAGTAAAATGTAAAGTAAAAAAAAATAAAAATTTATAACTCGTGCCTAAAGGCACTTTCAACAATTTTTTTGGTACCTCACACTCTACAAAACTCAATTAAAATAAATTAATTCAGAATGACAACAATTTCATTGCACTACAGAACTCAATTAAAATAAATCAATTCAAAATGACAACAATTTCACTGCATAGAACTCAATTATAACAAATCAATTCAAAATGACATACTTCATGCATAAGAGGAATGGTGAATGAACATTTTGGTACAAAAGAATAATCATTATAGCTTAGTAGAAAACAAAAAAACTAATCATCCAGTCAAGAATGAAACACCAATCATTAACACACATAGAAAAAAGCAACACAATCACAACGTTTCTAATGCTGATCAGTCATCTGTAACAAATCACTCCAACACTTGAATTCGACTTTAAAAGATTAGCTAAAAGAAATCATAACAGGAAAACTCATTCAAAATATTTATGAGAAACGGGAAAATCAATAATTATGAATTAAGAGAAATTGAACATAAAAAAATTTCTAACATAACTCTTCTTGATAAAAACACCAGTGTTTTCCCCAATTTACCCGTAATTATCAAACTAAATAACAGCAATTATCACATTCATAAGAATGTGATCAAAATACATGATTCCTTAGAAGGATAACCCCCCCTTCCCCTCCTCCTCCCCATTTAAAAAAAATAACCATTAAAATAAACCCCTCCCCCCTTTCCCCCCTCCTCCCCGTTTAAAAAAAATAACCATTAAAAAAATGTAACACTTAAGAAAATCCAAACAATCGAAACTAACTGTTGCCGACAAAAGCTAAGAGGCAAAACAAACTATTGTATTAAAACTAAAAAAACAGGATACCTAGTCAAGGTTCCTCACCTTCATAACTATGAAAGTGTATTGTAGATAATTGGTTTATTCCCTCCAAAAAAAATTTCCCTGAGTTGTAATGGAGTATTATAGAACTAAATAGGAAAAGCAATATGAAGTCTTGCACTTCCTTTTACGTCCGTAGAGTTTAAAAAAAAAAGAACAATACTTCCAAATGCCTTCGAGAATTACCAAATGCATCCATCACTACAATCTGTGAATTAGTATTATAAAAGATTGGTTCAATTCCTTCGACTTCCCTGATCTGAAGAACCTTTACAGTTTGTTCACATAAAGCCACATAAGAAAAGTTAATTGAAGTAAGCATGTTAAATAAATAAATAGTCATTGAAGTAAAAGTCAATTGAACAAAATTATTGACTACATCATGCATGATTTCATTAGACAGTGATGAGACTACTTGAATATTTCAAATCTAAGATCTTACACAATCATTAATAGTACATTATCCACTGTTTCTCACTTAATCCCATTAAAAGAAACAAGCTTAGAAATTACGAATGTATTTAAACTAATTAAAAAAATCCATGAGATCCATGGCCATCAAAGCCGCCATCAAAGCCACCATCTTGTTGTGCCCTTGGATCAATATTCACTTATCTAGCTTTTCATTGGAAGACAAATCCAGAATATGCAAACCAAAAAAAAAAAAATCCTGTATGCAAGAACAAATTTAAATTTTTTGTTTGTGATGAACATAACAAATCTAGTAGTTCATGAAAAAACTGATATTACACCTATTACTACATTCCTAAGTATGAATCAGTGTCGGAATTAAGAAAAGACCACCATGTTGTATTCAATTATTCAAACATGAGGAGCTTTCAGCATGATTTTTTTTTTCTCTACTTCATAAATAAGCAGACTTTATTAAAAAGCATCAAGATGATGCAAAGCATACAAAAATTCAGCCCCCAAAGGGATAACAAAGCTAAGAAATCAAATATAGCTATCCCGGTTTTCCTTTCCTTTGTTTATTGTATTCCGGACTTGGTTCTGTGGTTGTGTTGTTGTCTTATTCTCATTTCCATCCTTTACTCTTTATATTTGAGTCTTGGGTTGTGTTGGGCAGGTTTGAAACAGGCTGGTTGTGTTTTGAAACCAAAAGTTGATGCCCAAAATTTGGCCTTCACGCTCGAGCGGGGCTTTTGACGCTCGAGCGGGCCCTTTGTTGTTGCTTCTCCGCTCGAGCGGGCGTTTTGACGCTCGAGCGTAAATTTCTATCTCCCAGTACTTTTGTCTGCAGGTCTTCGTACGCTCGAGCGGGAGTTTTGACGCTCGAGCGTGACACTTTGATTTTGTTCTTCCGCTCGAGCGGGGAGTTTGACGCTCGAGCGGGGACCATGTCTGCAAAACTTCTGTAGGTGTGCAATCGACGCTCGAGCGGTGCTTTTGATGCTTGAGCGTGAGTCTGTGTCTGACGCTCGAGCGGGGGTTTCCACGCTCGAGCGGGGCGACTGGTATAACACTACGGGATTTCACCTTTTTGGATCACTTTTTGATTTCCTTTCTCTCTCTTACTTTTCGAAAATCACCATTTGAGAGCACCTCACTCTAAAACATCACCTTCTCTCTAGGGATTGATCTAGTAGGAGTGATTTCCTCACCTTGGGCCTTTGTAAAAAGGGTTGAGTTTGTCGAGAGCTATCTTTTGATCCAAAAATTTCTTGATTTGGAGCACTTCGGATTTCGTCATCTCCTACCTTTGGGCTCCGAATTTGAGGTAGGGATTCCTACTCATTCTTATGTGCTTTAACATAGATATTGAGTTATTTGTATAGATGGGTTGATTTGGAAGGTTAGGGTTTGAAATGTGTTATTTTCAAAAGAGGGATTTTGTGGTCTTGACTCTTAAATGTGTAATTTGGGTCTTAAAATGGTAGTATTGAAGTTATTGAAGCTATTTTGGGCCTTTGGGTCAATATTGAGAAATGGGGGACAAAGCCCTAAATTGTTATGGCAAGTTAATTCATGAAATTAATTTGGGAATTATGGAAACATGAAATTGAGTTGGAATAATTGGAATTGGCATAATATGAGATAGAATGGTGGAGTTAGATTTATTAATCACTCACCCTTGAAAATAGTGATAAATTTATCAGTTGATGCATTTATTATCTGTTTAGAAATAACTGCTTTGTGCTATCGGTGGAGGATAGTCTTTATTGTTATAGACAATGCATGATGATTAGGCAAATAAAAACTAATCAATTGAATATGTCATCGAATATGACGGTTATAATAATACATCAAATTTATGTATTGATTGATTATGTATATGATATGTGTTTATATACGTTGTGTTGTGTGGGAAAAGATATGGGATGTACTCCACGGTTTAGGGGAAGATAGGGGATGGACTCCTAAACCGGATGTTTTGTGGGAGGAGATAGGGGATGGACTCCATCGATACAACAAATAAGTGTATCTATTGTAGTTTTGATACAGCAAATCTGTGTGTCATATACGAAGAAGGGAAGTGTTTTGTTGAGACTGATACAACAATTATGTGTATCTAATATGAAGTATGAAATGTTAATTTGAGTTGTTATCTCAACTGAATTGGAAGTGTTATTGATATGAGATATAATCTCATTTGAAGTATATGGCCAGGTTCTGAGCCAGGGTTATGAAATGGGAAATGAAATGAAACATGGACATATTTGTCACATAACTGAAATGGGTTGTGAATCGATTGATGTGAGTTAAACATTTATGAAATGCTAATGTTTTAGTTATTGCTCATATTATGTTTAGCATATCTCTACTGGGCGTTGGCTCACCCTATATGGGACATCATTTTCAGGTTCAGGTAGCATGCCGCCTCCGAGGTCATAGCTTGGATGGTTGTGGGAGTTGAAGACTCTTTTGTTTATTTTTGTGTATTACATGTACATCAAGCCTAGGGCTTATTTTGTGTAGAGTTAGTACTCTCTTTTTTTGTAACCAAGTGTTGGCTTGGAAAGTTGTAAGCCCATAGGGCATTTACTTTTGTTGTCAACATGTAATACATTCTATAAGAATATTCTGATTTATGAAAAATGATATATCTTTCTTGTATCATGAATGTCTGTTTATGGGTTTATTTTGAGGGCGTTACAACTTGGTATCAGTGCGTACCGGGTTTGAATACTTTGGGTACGTGGGAAGTGATTAGTATCACAATGGGTTTATCTCGCTTGTTAGAGACTTAGATATAGTGTTGCAAGCCTATGTGACTACCTGGGTATGGGATTTAATTTCTAGGATGTTGATTGGATCCTTGGGGTTCTGTGAGTCTTGTTGGAAAAGCACTTGATCAATGTTGTTTCTAACCAGAATTCTAGTAACGCCTCGGGACTATCATTATCCAGAAATGAAGTTCGTAAGTGCTTATGTGATTATGTGCTTACGTGGAGTGAATTACAGTTGTCCGTACATTAGGACGCGAGTGTTATAGCTTCGGCACATTTGTGAATGTGCTAATGTTCTTCGTTACCTTTATTAGGATGTCAAGACGAGGACGAGGACGTGGAGGTAGACGTGGTAGGCGTGGTAGGCAGGAGATGCCTTTGCCGGATGATATTCCAGCACAGCAGGAGGGGGTTGGTCAGGCCAATGTGGCCGAGCCAGCGGGTCAGCAGGCCATGGGTGCCTTAGCCCGTGACATAGCAGGATCTTTGAGGGAAACCATAGGCATTCTCAGAGCTGAGAATCCAGTTCAGGCCCAGGTTGTTGATGCAGGGCCTTCCTTTCTAAAGAGGGAGTTCTTCCGGTCTAATCCGGACGAGTTTGTTGGAGATCCTAAGGAGCCACTTAAGGCTGATGAGTGGTTGGAACAGTTGACGAAGACGTTCGAGATGCTTGGCATCGAGGACAGAGCTTTGAAGGTGACCTTGGCATCTTTCCAGCTTAAGGGAGATGCGGGTCAGTGGTGGAAGTACATGAGGGGCCGTATTGGAGGGACATGGGAGGCCTTTGTAGATGCCTTCCAGGAGAAGTTCTTATCTCCAGCTGTCAGGGAGAAGCTGAGAGATCAGTTTTGCCAGCTTAAGCAGTTGAGTTTATCAGTGGCCGAGTTTGAGGTCGCATTCACCAGTCTATCTAGATTTGCACCTGAGCTTGTGGCGTCTGAGGAACGTCGTTGCCTTGAGTTCGAGAAGAAGCTGAGGCATGGCCTCAAGATGAGAGTTGGGGGTTCTATGACTCGAGATTATGGGCGCCTTGTAGATGCTGCAGCCTATATGGAGATCATGATGCAGGAGAAGGAGGAGGAGAGGCAGAGGGGCTCCAAGAGGAGTCAGGATGGCCAGGGTGATGGCAGGAGACAGAGGGGTTCTAACCCTTAGCAGTCTCAGGGTCGTTTTGTTAGATCGACATTTCTAGTGCCGAGTGCAGGTTCTGGGAGAGGCAATCAGGGAGACATCACCTGTTACAAGTGTGGTCAGCTGGGCCACAAGTCTCCAGCTCTCCCGCAGAAGGGCGAAGGTCAGAGAGTAGCCTCATCTACGGCTCGACCTCAGAGCCAGAGTCAGGGCAGGGGTCAGCCACTGTCTTGCTATCAGTGTGGTCAGGTGAGGCACCTGAAGAGGTTTTGCCCGCAGTTGAGTGGCACTTCTGGTGCATCTAGGCAGAGGCAGAGTTTTCAGCCAGCTTAGTCAGTTCAGGCCTCGAGGGCCAATCAGGGGGCTTCGTCGTCCCAATCTGTGCAGCAATTTTTTGCTCCTAGAGATGAGCATGTAGATCAGAGGCCTACATGACGCGTGTATGCTGTTGCCGCGCAGGATCTAGTACCGGCTCCATCTGTTGTGAGAGGTACCTTTTTGTTTTGCAACTCGGTTGCCAATATGTTGATTGATACGGGTGCATTCCATTCTTTTATATCTGTTGCATTTGCATCTGTTTTGGAGTTGGAGTTGGCACAGTTAGCATCTCCTATTTGTGTCGTATCACCTATTGGGGGCGAGTTGATTTTGAAACAAGGGTGTCAGGGCTGTGATATAGAGCTCGCCGACTACCAACTCCCATTTTCTTTTGTAGTTATGCATATGTCGGGTTTTGATGTTATTTTGGGTATGGACTGGTTATCGTCATACCGGGCTGTTATTGATTGCTACCGCCAGAGGGTCACAGTATGTACCATGAGCGGGGAGTATAGCGACCCCGGTCTTTTCCCATTTGATTATTGTATCCGGACTTAGGTTCCGTAGGTTC